TGGCGTGTACGTATTGTCCTATGGCGTTTTTTGTATATACTCATTATATGCGATACGTCACGACATAGCCGTGTACGCATTGTCCTATGGCGTTTACGCATTATCCTATGGTGTTTACGCATTGTTCTATGGTGTTTACACACTGTCCTATAACGTTTACGCATTGTCCTATGGCGCTTACGCATTGTCCTATGGCGTGTACGCACCGTCCTATGCCGCTTACGCATTGTCCTATGGCATGTACGCATTGTCCTATGTCGTGTACGTATTGTCCTAGCTTTACACATGGTCGTTTACGCGCTGTCGTTTACACACTGTCGTTTACGTATTGTCTTATAGCATTTATGCATTGTCCTACAGCGTGTACGTATTGTCCTATGGCGTGTACGTATTGCCCTATCATAACGAGTGACGAGTGAACGTTTTATTAATGTCGCTTAGTGAAAGGCGTCCTCCCCCGTATAGCCGTGTACGCATTGTCCTATGGCGTTTACGCATTGTCCTATGGCGTTTACGCATTGTCCTATGGCGTGTACGTATTGTCCTATGGCGTTTACACATTGTCGTTTACGCGTTGTCGTTTACACACTGTCGTTTACGCATTGTCTTATGGCGTGTACGCACTGTCCTAGCTTTACACATTGTCGTTTACGCGTTGTTGTTTACACACTGTCGTTTACGTATTATCTATCGTTAACATAATTGTTACGCATCCTCGCCCTACACGTTGTCGCCCAACGCATTGTCATCCTATGCCTTCTCGCCCTACGCCTTCTCGCTCAACGCATTGCTGCCCCACGCATTGTTGCCCTACGCATCGTTGCCCTACGCATTGTTTCCTTACGCATTGTTCCCACGCATCGTCGCCCTACGCATAGTTATTCAACGTATTCTTCCATAACGCAGACAGTGTTAGACGCATTGTGGGAGACAAGCGTACACATTGCGCCTGGCCGTATACGCATTGCAACGATGCATCGTCTACGCACAATACGCAATACGTAACGACATAGCGTGTAGCGCAGCCGACATAGCGACCAAAACGGCTCCCCCGTCATATGGCATGTGCGCATTGTCCTTTAGCGTTTATGCATTGTCCTACGGCGTCTACGTATTGTCATATGGCGCTGCGTCTATGCATTGTCCTATGGCGTCTACGCATTGTCCTATGCCCACTCTCTCCCCAGGACGAACTCGTTTGCGACGCCGTTCTCCAGCCGCTCCAGCTCAAGCCGTGCCTGGCCGACTACTCCAAACACTATCCCCACAGGCCCAGGCATCATCCCCAATCCCATTGTCCTTTAGCGTTTACGCATTGTCCTACGGCGTCTACGTATTGTCATATGGCGCTGCGTCTACGCATTGTCCTATGGCGTCTACGCATTGTCCTATGCCCACTCTCTCCCCAGGACGGACTCGTTTGCGACGCCGTTCTCCAGCCGCTCCAGCTCAAGCCGTGCCTGGCCGGCTACGCCAAACACTAGGTACCAATACGGCACAACCACTCCGCCGCTCACGCATTGCTTGCGCCTGGCCGTATACGCATTGCAACGATGCATCGTCTACGCACAATACGCAATACGTAACGACATAGTGTGTATTGCAGCCGACATAGCGACCAAAACGGCTCCCCCGTCATATGGCATGTGCGAATTGTCCTTTAGCGTTTACTACCTCCCCCGTCATATGGCGCTGCGTCTACGCATTGTCCTATGGCGTCTACGCATTGTCCTATGCCCACTCATACGCATTGTTCTTACACATCGTTGGCTCGTACGCATTGTCGCCCTACGCATTAGAACCCAATGCATCGTCGCCCTACGTGTTATCGCCCTACGCATTGTTGGATTACGGATTGTTACGTCTTCTCGCCCTACGCATTGTTACCCTACGCATCGTTGCCCTACGCATCGTTGCCTTACGCATCGTTGCCCTACGCATTGTGATTCAACATATTAATCGATAACGCATCGTCACCCCAAAACACATTATTTCCCTACGCATTGTTGTTACGCAATGTTCTAACGTATTGTTCTTACGTATTGTTGGTTCGTACGCATTGTCGCCCTACGCATCATTGCCCAGCACGTTCTCACCCTACGCATTCTCGCCCTACGGATTGTCACCCTACGCATTATCACGCCTTCTCGCCCTACGCATTGTTGCCGTACGCATTGTTGCCCTACGCATCGCTACCCTACGCATTGTTTCCTACACATCGTTCCTACGCATCGAAGCCATACGCATCGTTATCCAACGTAATCTTCCATAACGCATTGTTACCCAAAAACGCATCGTTTCCCTACGCATTGTTCTTACGCGTTGTTGCCCCTTCGCATCCTCGCCCTACACGTTGTCGCCCAACGCATTGTCATCCTATGCCTTCTCGCCCTACGCCTTCTCGCTCAACGCATTGCTGCCCCACGCATTGTTGCCCTACGCATCGTTACCCTACGCATTGTTTCCTTACGCATTGTTCCCACGCATCGTCGCCCTACGCATAGTTATTCAACGTATTCTTCCATAACGCAGACAGTGTTAGACGCATTGTGTTAGACGCATTGTCTTATGACATTTACGCATTGTCCTACGACATGTACGTATTGTACTATGGCATGGACGCTCTTTTGGCGTCACACCATGCCGTACTGTACGACAAGGTGAGATGGTGAAACTGAGACACTGCCAGAGCGGCTCAGCAAAGCTAGAACGCTGAGGGGGTGGTGAGGGGGGTGGGGAGAATGGAGGGGGGTGGCAGATCGTGTCATAACCCACACCGTACCGTACAGCAGTTGAGAGGGTAATGCTGCGGCATTGGTCAGAAGAGCACGAGTGATGACGGGGTGGTGAAAGGGTGGGGCGGGGGGTGGGGAGCACGGAGGGGGGTCGGAGACCGTGTCATAACCCAACCCGTATTGTACCGCCAGTTGTTGTGGCGAGGGGGGACATGGTGCCAGGAGTCACAGGCAGGGTCGGGGTGACGTATAGGCGACGAGGGGAGAAGAGGGGGAGGAGGGGGGTGGGAGGCCGTGTCAAAACCCAAGCCGTACTGTACTGCCAGTTGTTGTGGCGAGGGGGGGATGGTGCCAGGAATGACAAGGAGGGCTGGGGTGACGTGTAGGCGACGAGGGGAGAAGAGGGGGAGGAGGGGGGTGGGAGGCCGTGTCAAAACACATGCCGTACAGATGCCGTACAAGTGTACGACAGCTGCCGTACGCTGCCGTACCGTTGTCGTACACTGCCGTACAGTTGCCGTACATGTCGTACACCACATGACGTCTTATCACACAGTACGGCAACTGTGCCGTACAGTTTGCTGCCGTACAGTGTGTTGTCGTACTCGAGATCTCTCAGAACACCATCCCCACAGGCCCAGGCATCATCTCCAAGGGTGCCCAGGAAGTCGCCAAGAGGTCGCCACCTGGCTCGAACCGGAGACCTCTGGCTAGATCAACAACGACCATAAGAATGTACGACATGAGGAGGTTGCCATGAAATTCCGAACAGACGGACGGACGGACGGACAAAATTTCGACCGACTGTCCTCCAATCCTCCCCTCCACTTCGTTACGGGGGAATTTACGGTCATATAACGACTTTAGTTGTACGGCATAAATGCCTCCTTCTTATTGGCAGCTTGCCCTTGTTTTTGGCATCTGCCTTTGTAGTAGCATCATCGAGTGTTTGTTAGGCCCTTCTGCCAGGGCTGTTAGGTGTAGTTTACCTATTACAAGTTCGGCTTAAATCTAATTAGGAATCAGCAGAACCTCGCCTCGCACAGATGGCGGACCCGAATCCGCAAAACGCTCCTGCTCAACCAGTACAGCAGCCATTGCCAGCAGTGCCACCTGCGGCGGCACCTGCGGCGGCAGCCGCGGCGGCTCCAGCGGTCGCCGGCACAGCCGAGGAGGTGCAACTGCGCCTTAACCAGCTGAGGCGCCAAGGCATCAGGCAGCTGAACATGCACGACAACATCTTTCAGAAGTCCAGCAGGCTCGAGAGTGCATGCCCTGACCTGCTGCGGTTCCTGTTCGACCGGATGCGGGACATCTTCGTCAAGGTGACGACCGCGTCGGACCTGCTGGAGCACGTCAAAGACCTGCATGAGGACATCCAGGCAGCGCTGGAGGATTTGGCCTTTGTTGTGCGGTCGCTGCAGGGCTTTAAGGCGGCGTTTGACGGTGCGGGCAAGTGCAAGCAGCACCACTTCGATATGTTCGAGGCCCTGTACGAGGCTGTAAGCAGCCTCGTCGCCAACCCGTCAGAGGACATCCTCAGCGGCAAGGAGCGGCTGTATGACCTGAAGCACAAGACGTTCGCAGCAGCCGCAACGCAGATTAACCAGATTAAGGGTTCCCACCCCCTGTCGGAGAAGAAGGCGGAGGCCAGCACCTCCGGCCGGCAGCCCAAGCAGCAGTACAACAACAACAAGCCCTTCCACTTCAACCCGTACCCCCCCAACCAGGGCCCGCCGCGGTTCCAGGGCCAGGGCCGCGGACGCGCCCCGCACTACTGAGGAGTTAGCTCAGCTAGGGTTAGCGGGAAGCAATGGAGTGGGATAGGGGCAGTTACAACCAGACCGCGAGTAGGCGAATAGGAGGAGGAGAATACGCGGTGGGGCTGATTACCCTGGATTTTGTGGCTAAAGGCCTTGAGAAATGGGCTGATTACCCAGTCGGTCAGTAGCGACCTTGAGATGGGGCTGATTACCCCGGGATGCGATATGAGGCTGATTACCTCGAGTTGACAATGGGGATTAGTACCATCGAATCGGAGTCAGGGCTGATTACCCGACCGATTGACACAATTGCTTAATAGAGCGGGAGGCTCTAGCGAACGCAAGACACTCAGATTATGTGTAAGCAACCGGCTGGGATTGTGCGCAAGTCGTACTCGGTGGCAAGCAGACGATTCGCAGTAAACAGCTTCCAATGATCCAGTTTCAATAACTCCTAGCTTATTGGCGCATTATTGCTAGTAGCATTATAGCTGCAATAAAAATGAGGGAGAAATTCCTGCCTCCGTTCATTTTGCAGCCGAAGCAGCAAGCAAATACCGACAACACGAATAGGAACGATAGTGCCTTATCGCGACCTACGTATAGGAGCGGGCAGCAGCGACTAGCGAGATTCGGCCCGCCGCTGGGCTTAGTATCGGCTTCGGCATCAACATCATCGGCGGCGCCGGTCGCGGCCAAGGCTTCAGGCACGACAACAACAATAAATGTTGCAGCAGCAGCGGCGGGCTCGGTGGTCATACCGCCAGTACCGAGGAGCGGAGCACCCATTACGTCTGGAAATTCGCAAGTGGAGGCACGCTTGGCTGCCAGCGACAATGCGCCAGAGCTGGCAGGTGTGGCCGAAGTAGAGGAATTGCCAGACGGGTCATGGGAATATGAATCCAGCAGCGGGAAGACAAGCGCTAAGAAGCCGGCGATGCATGGGCGCTTGCGCAAGAACAAAGAGTTCTGGCTATCCACCTGCCGGTCCTCGTTGGTGACGAAGTTCATTTTATTCGGTTTCCCTTTACTCTTTCTGGGGGCGCCACCAGCGGCACGGTTATTCAATAACCTCCCTTCAGCGGTCCGGTACAAGGAGTTTGTCACTGAGGCAATAGCGGATTTGGTGGCATCCCGGACAGTACTACCTGTTAGGGAAGAACCGCATTGCGTGCTACCGCTGGGTGTGGTGCCGAAACCGGGCACGGGTAAGCTTCGGCTTATCCTGGATGCGCGGTATGTGAATGAGCACCTTCACGTACCGTCGTTCAAATACGAGGGCTTGGGGGGTTTGTCGTCGGTGCTAGAACCAGAAGATTTTTTTGTTCACATTGGATCTAAAAAATGGATACCATCATGTGGACATGCACGAGGACTCGTGGAAGTATTTGGGTTTCCAGTGGGAAGGTCAGTTCTATGTCTTCACCCAGCTACCGTTCGGGCTAGCACCTGCATGTTGGGTATTCACGAAGATCACGCGAGAGCTAATCGGATCGTGGCGTGCTAAAGGGCACAGGGTTTCTGGTTACATTGATGATAGCATCCATGCGCATCAGGATATGGCCACACTAATAGAATGGCGAGAACTGGTGCTGGGAGATTTGCAACGAGCAGGTTTTATCGTCAACATGGAAAAGAGCGGTTTAGTACCGAGTAAGGAGGTGAAATATTTAGGGGCAATGGTTAACACGGCTGCAGGGACACTGACGGTACCGGCAGTTAAACGGGAACGCCTGTTTAATGCGATAGATAGAGCGCTGGAACAAAAGGACGCATGCAAAGTGCGGGATATAGCCTCAATTACGGGGCAAATCATGGCCATGAGTTTCTCGTTTGGCGATATGTCCGTCCTAATGACGAGGCAGTTGGTACATTGGCAAACGGTTGTAGTACAGCAAGGCAGCAGGTTGGATGATAGGGCGGTACTAGCCCCAGAAGCCGCAAGAGAGCTAGAATTTTGGAAAGGCGCTTTTCCGCGTTTCGACGGCCGCAAACCAATTTGGCTGCCGTCTTTTATCCATACGGTGAAGGTTTTTACAGATGCTGCCGGTGCTGGGGGCTGGTCGTACGGTGGTTGGGGCGGCTGGGCCCAAGACAGGGGTCAACGCCTGATTGCATCGGGGAGATGGCAATTTGATACACGGGGCACGTCTTCATCGGTATTAGAATTGAGGGCTAGCCTCAATGTGATTAAAAGCATTAATAAAGAAGGCAACCTAAGGGGTCAGAGAGTGCTGCTGCACACTGACAGCCAAGTTGCGGATGCGGTGCTCAAAAAAGGAGGGTCGACTAAATTAGACCTCCAGGAAGCGTGTTACCAAATGTTCTGGTATTGCCTTGAAGAGCATATTCATTTGATTTCGACGTGGATCCCACGTGAATTGAATGCGTTCGCCGATGCACTGTCTAAGCGGGAAGAATCTTGTGACTGGATGCTGAACCCACGTGTTTTTCAACAGTTAGCGCAGAAGTGGGGCCCGTTCGCAATTGATTTGTTTGCGTCGCATACCAATCACCAGATGATACCTTATTTCTCTTGGTTTCATACACCCACTTGTGCGGGGGTGAACGCTTTTGCGTTTGACTGGCCAAGTACGTCATGGTGCAATCCACCGTTCGCTCTAATGGGGCGAGTTTTAGCACATGCCCTGCGGTGCCGTACACGCATGGCGCTAGTGGCACCTTTTTGGCCGGGGGCAGCATGGTGGCCGTTAAAGGAGAATGAGTACGCGTTTAAAGGTTTCGTGTGGGATTGCATAGTATTACCGCAGGAGGCGGATCTATATTTTGGGGGAGCGTCAGGTAACACGAAACCAGTGTTCACACCCAACTGGCACACCATCGCGTTATTGTTGGATTTTTCTACGGAATGCCGGCATGTCGTACAAATCCCTGACTTGTAATCCTAATTGCAATATATCCCGACAGTGTACTCGGAGGTCATGGAGGTACTCGGGAGCCAGCTGGGTAGCAGTCTCATGGAGAAGCCGCTTATTAAGGAGTTACTTGCAACGGTCGTACGCTGCGTACAAGCATCGAAAGCAGGCAGCACGTGGAAGGCCTACGCACCATGGATGCGCAGTTTCTGCGACTTTGCGGTAGAGATCGGCGTAAAGCCCTTGGACTTTAACGAGACGCAAATTTCACTCTACCTAGGTGGGGTTTATGCCAGCGCAGAACGGGATAAAGTGGGACCGCAACGGGTGGAAACAGCTAGCGCAGCAGTGTCAGCTCTGTTCGAGCTGGCAGGCAAGCCGTCCCCGTGCAGCGGCAAGCTGTGCGCGGGAGTACGAGAAGCGGCACGACGCACGCTGCGACCCCAGCTCTTGAACCGTGCGGCCGCAGCTGCAGAAGACCTGAAAGCGCTGATAGATAAGCACATACACGAGAACACCCAGCTCAGCGTGCGGATAATGGTCACCTGCATGGCGCTCAGCTTTGCCGGTATGCTGCGGTATAGCGACCTGGCACGGGTAATGGTACACCACGATTTAATGCGGTTCTACCCGGATCGGGTAGAGCTGTTCCTGTTCACCAGCAAAACGGACCAGCACTGCAAGGGCGCGCTAGTGCCAATCGGGCGGATCAGCGGCCCATACTGCCCAGTTCAGCTACTAGAACAGCTGCTGCAGGTAGGAGGCTACAAACGCGTGCCGGCGCAAGGTCCTGTGACAGCCCCAGACGGCAGCGTTAGCATCGGCGACGTGGAAGACGTCGGCCCGTTGCTACGGGCGTGCAGCCGGCACGGTCTTAAGCAAGTCGCTGTTCCGCTGATGGCAGCACCCGGTGAGAAGATCCAGCTGATCGAGCCGCTGGCGTACGCGACGTACGCTAAGCGGTTCAAGGAGCTCCTGACAGAAGCCGGAGTGACTAAGCGCCTCACCACGCACAGCATGCGCAGCGGTGGAGCCACGGCAGCAGTGAACGGTGGCGCGGAGCGCGCGGTGGTGCAGAAGGTGGGCCGCTGGCGGAGCAGCACAGTGTTCGAGCTGCACTACGTCCGGGACGACGGAGCTGCAAAGCAGCGGGTGGCGTTGTGCCTGGGGCTCGCAGACCGCTCTGGAAAGGACCCCGAAGGGGATGAGTAACGCGTGGGATGGGGTATCTTTGAAGGTCTGCTGCTACAGATGGCCACTGGTTCAATGTGAAAAAACGCTAACTTTGCAGGGTTACAGGCTGGGGAGACTGGAGAGGACGTTGGTGAATTGTAACGATGATGATTGGAATCCAAGAAACGCAGACTTTTCTAGAGTGAAGGAACGAACGTTAGAAAAGGCTGGTTCTTGGTGGAATGAATATAACAACTTTAGTTGTACGGCATAAATGCCTCCTTCTTATTGGCAGCTTGCCCTTGTTTTTGGCATCTGCCTTTGTAGTAGCATCATCGAGTGTTTGTTAGGCCCTTCTGCCAGGGCTGTTAGGTGTAGTTCCCGCCCGCCTCCCCGTGCTGTCCGCCGCTGGCTGGCCATGGCCGGGAGGAGAGAGGGTCGGGGTGCGGTCGCTCGCGTGGACTTATGTGCCGCGCCTGTTGCGGCTGCGGCGGCTCTTTGGCCGCCGGCGTTTGCCCTCGCGGTTTGTGCGGGTGCCCCACTGTGCTTGCCTGCGCTGGGGGGGGGGGCCTTGCCCGCCCTAGGCGTACCGCGGGTTCGTCTCAGGGTGTTTTGTTTGCCCTGGGGGCCTCGTGCTGTCTCGTGGCGAGATGGTGCGACTCGAGGCTCTGCTGCTACAGATGGCCACTGGTTCAATGTGAAAAAACGCTAACTTTGCAGGGTTACAGGCTGGGGAGACTGGAGAGGACGTTGGTGAATTGTAACGATGATGATTGGAATCCAAGAAAGGTAGAGCCCCTTGTCCAGCTGAGGCCAGCCGCCATGGCGTGCATAGTGTCCTCACTCATTGCACGCATTGTTAGGTTACACCTTTTCAATCGAGTACTCAGTAACGTCTTATCATGCTTGATAACACCCACACATTAGGCTACAGAACCCAAATCGACGGCGTAACTGCCACATGGGAGTGCTTTAAGGGTCCCGCAGGTCGTTTAGGTTTCGCCTACATTACTAACATGATGAGGAGGTCAGGCTCGGCAATGTCTGCATCGTGCTCTTAAGGACTTCGGCAATTGCACCGGAACATCGCTGTTATCTTCTAGGCGAGGTACCTGTTTGCGTTACAGTTCATGTGCATTATGGTGCGGAAACTAATAACAAAGGCCGGCAACATTGTCTCAAAGGAGGTGGGCTCAGTGTAGCACAGTCGATGCACGCAAGCATGCTCCTGCCGACTTTCACAGGTAGCCCTTTGGCGACACGCCGCTGTTTCCAATTCATTAAACACTGTTTACGGTACCAGGACAAACCATAGAGGAGCGCTAATTGGTGTTGCCGCGGTGGTCCTTTTGAATGGCTGGCCTGTAAATCGTTTGTTGTGAGATTAAGTTTGTTTGGCTTCCAGTTATTTTTACCCAATGCAGATAACAAATACCTATTAGTTGCACAAATAGTTTTGTCTAGTTTGTATGTTTTGCCGTTACGGACACACGGACGGACACACGGACGGACACACGGACAGAGGCAATCCTGGGGGGCGAAGCCCCACCGAAGCCGCTTCGCGGCGGGGGCTCCGCCCAAAAAAACGAGGTTAATTGGGGTCCAAACATTACAAAGTACATGTCAGCTATGTATTGGACTGCCAGGCTGATGGCTTTGGCCCCGGGGTGCCTGCAAACTCTTAAAAATAATATAGATACAGGCATAGCTGACTTGCAACCAAGAGAAGATAGGTTATCGCACACCGTTGTTGGCAACAGAAGCTGGTTGATGACCCATGTGTCGCTTTTTGTAAGCTCTACAACTATTAGGTCGTATACTACATATCTCAACGGAGACTGGCGACGCTAGGACAACCGGCCTAGTAACGACTGGTTCAGGTTGGCGTGTTATGGCTAGTAAGCGCCTCAGAGGTAGGGGAAAGGGGCACCCTCCCCTGCCCACCCTTACTTACATACACCCTCCACGCCAAAACAAAGGGTGTCTATTGTTGAAGTCGTAGTTCTTCCTCCGGGCCCCAAGGAGGAGTTATGGAGGAGGCCTCTAAAGGTTCGTTACTGGCGGCAGGGCAGGAGGGGTCCTTCACCGAAGCCGCTTCGCGGCGGGGGCTCCGCCCAAAAAAACGAGGTTAATTGGGGTCCAAACATTACAAAGTACATGTCAGCTATGTATTGGACTGCCAGGCTGATGGCTTTGGCCCCGGGGTGCCTGCAAACTCTTAAAAATAATATAGATACAGGCATAGCTGACTTGCAACCAAGAGAAGATAGGTTATCACACACCGTTGTTGGCAACAGAAGCTGGTTGATGACCCATGTGTCGCTTTTTGTAAGCTCTACAACTATTAGGTCGTATACTACATATCTCAACGGAGACTGGCGACGCTAGGACAACCGGCCTAGTAACGACTGGTTCAGGTTGGCGTGTTATGGCTAGTAAGCGCCGCAGAGGTAGGGGAAAGGGGCACCCTCCCCTGCCCACCCTTACTTACATACACCCTCCACGCCAAAACAAAGGGTGTCTATTGTTGAAGTCGTAGTTCTTCCTCCGGGCCCCAAGGAGGAGTTATGGAGGAGGCCTCTAAAGGTTCGTTACTGGCGGCAGGGCAGGAGGGGTCCTTCAGCAGAGCTTGTCATTGCACGGTCCATGGGTCTGGCCTTTGGCTGCCATACCCTGTACGTAGACCCCCGTACATTATTCCAATTCTGCTGCCGCAATTCTGCTGCTTCAGTGTACAGCCGTGGACTTGCAGGGCCTTCCCTGGGGGATGATGGCATCGAAGTCATGACCACGGCCCGAGCTGCTAAAGAAAAACGTATGAAGGCCCAAAAGGGGGAGTTGCGGGAATCGAACCCGCGACCTCTCGCACCCGAAGCGAGAATCATACCACTAGACCAAACTCCCTTGAGCCATGCATGATATTGTAAAGTGATCACATATGTACAGCAAACGTCTGGGGCCTTATGCCTTGTGGGCACGTTTGCATGCCATCCTTCTTAGAGATGACACATAAGGCAGATCCACGCGCAGCTCCAGGAAAGTCACACACATTAACATGCAAAACATGCTTATGATTATGAAAAGGTACTAATGTTGTATATATACAGTGATAGGCAGCTGGGCCTCTTTCTGGCTCTCAGCGCACTGCAAGGTTAACTGCCATTGAGTGGACTTCACTTTTGAGGCGGTGTCCCTCTGCCTGGACGTGGCCTCTATCATCACAATCGCCCATCCTGGCGGGCAGAGGTTTCTATGGCTGTATGTGCGTGTGTTCACGTTTCTGTACGGGTGTTGTGGTGCAACAAACTGTCTTCATTGCCAACCACTAGTTCAACTTACAACAATGGGGTGTTGATCAGGGATGCGGGCTTTGCTGTGGAGGTTTGTGTTACAGCAACCGATTTGCATTGGCTGTATGTATTGCAACGGACAATTATTTGCATTGGCTGCATTGCAACGGACGATTGGCAATGGTTGTTTCACAATGGTTAGGTGGTCACCTGCTGGCTGGCCTACTTTGGGCGTGAGCTGCTGTAACATGGCTGGTGTTGAGGGACAAGGGGGTTTAGGGGTTTAGGGTTTTAGGGTTTTGCTCAGAGCCCCTTGTCCAGCCGAGGCCAGCCGCCATGGCGTACATAGTGTCCTCACTCATTGCACGCATTGTTAGGTTACACCTTTTCAATCGAGTACTCAGTAACGTCTTATCATGCTTGATAACACCCACACATTAGGCTACAGAACCCAAATCGACGGCGTAACTGCCACATGGGAGTGCTTTAAGGGTCCCGCAGGTCGTTTAGGTTTCGCCTACATTACTAACATGATGAGGAGGTCAGGCTTGGCAATGTCGGCATCGTGCTCTTAAGGACTTCGGCAATTGCACCGGAACATCGCCGTTATCTTCTAGGCGAGGTACCTGTTTGCGTTACAGTTCATGTGCATTATGGTGCGGAAACTAATAACAAAGGCCGGCAACATTGTCTCAAAGGAGGTGGGCTCAGTGTAGCACAGTCGATGCACGCAAGCATGCTCCTGCCGACTTTCACAGGTAGCCCTTTGGCGACACGCCGCTGTTTCCAATTCATTAAATACTGTTTACGGTACCAGGACAAACCATAGAGGAGCGCTAATTGGTGTTGCCGCGTTGGTCCTTTTGAATGGCTGGCCTGTAAATCGTTTGTTGTGAGATTAAGTTTGTTTGGCTTCCAGTTATTTTTACCCAATGCAGATAACAAATACCTATTAGTTGCACAAATAGTTTTGTCTAGTTTGTATGTTTTGCCGTTACGGACACACGGACGGACACACGGACGGACACACGGACAGAGGCAATCCTGGGGGGCGAAGCCCCACCGAAGCCGCTTCGCGGCGGGGG